CCCGCGTCTTCTAAGAAGCCGCTCTCCAGCGGCTCTTCAGGCGAAACGTTCCAGCCCCCCCCCCCCGCACACACACACACACACACACACAGGATGAACGGGCAGGGTAGCCCTTGCAACGTGGTAACCAAGTACCTGAGGAGCGCCTCGTTGTCGCCCACAATGCCGATGCTGTGCGTCAGGTAGATCGAGCCTATTACCACCACTGAGCCTGGGCCTAAGGATGAGCCGGTGCTGCCACTGGACTGGGATGTCCACAACCTGCGTAGCTGCGATCGCCCAGGAGGTCACGATCGCCCCCCCCCCCCCCCCCGACGCAGCTTGGATGCGACTGGACTGCCTGGGCGGCAGCCCTGCCGCCAGCGAGTGGGCCCCACTCCTGCACCACTGATGAGCTGACTGGACGCGGTGGTCATGAATGACTTTCGTCTCCTGCGCCAGCACCACATGGGGAAGGGTTGCCTTGCCCTGCCACCATCGGAGCACGTCCTGCGTGGAGCTCCACGCATTGCCGTTGATCGTGCCGCCGCTGGGGGGAACGCCCAAGTCCAATGGACGCTGGGGGGAACGCCCAGGTTCAATGGCACTACAGGCAGGAGCTCGTTGAGGAAGATAGCTCTGGGAACGTCCTGGGTGTCTCTGCCAACAGCCAGCGTCCTGTCGGCCGCTGCCTCGCCGATGAGCCCCTGTTCGCCACTCCAACTCATGGAGCGATCACGCGGCCATGCCTGCCTTGGGAGGGGCCCAGGGGTGCCCGGCGAGCTGCTCCCCCAACCCCCCCGGCCATCGCGCCGCCCCTTGCGGCCGTCGGACCCCACCCACGCCGCCCCTCCAGCGGCGGCGCACTCCCCGCGCCTCGCGCCAACGGCGACCCCGAGACCAAGGCCCGCGGCACTCGGCAGGCCCACGGGCATCACGACAGCCGCCTCGCCCACAACCTCATGCGGAGCCCAACTGGCCGCTGGATGCTCTGGCCCGCGCGGCGACGTCGAGCCTGGCAGCCGCGATGGCACACCAGGACTTTGCGATCTAACGCCCGCGGCGACGTTGCCTAGCAGCCGCGATGGCACACTAGGACTTTACGCTCTAACGCCAGGGCCTTCCGCTCCAGGGCCGTGAGCTCCAGCAAGAACCGCGGCTGCCTCTGGGTCGCTGCCGCCCTGGAAAGGTCGTCGGGCGCCCCTATGCTGGCTGACACTGTCGCCCATGGCGCGCACGTCCTGGAACTTCGCGTCGAGCCGCGCGCCATCGAACGCGAGGTCTGGCCTTAGCTCTGGGGCGGCGAACCCCATCTCCCTGAGCCCCCAGTCCTCGTCCGCCTGGCTGCGTTTCCAAAAGCGATCGCATGCCCCCCCCCCCCCCCCCAGCCCTCTGCCTGGACCCAGCTGCACAACCTGAGCTCCGCGTGCTGGGGGAAGGCACATCCGCCATAGTCACCTTCCGAGTAGAAATATCTGCGTCTCTTTCTCGACGCAGATCTGGCCCCAACTCTCGCTCTTGCGCGCCCTCCAAGGGAATGCGCATCTTTGGCCTCGAGCGCTGTCCTTGAAGTAGCCGCCGCACTCTGCGATGCAGATCTGGTCCCAGCTCTCGCTCTTGCGCGCCCTCCAAGGGAATGCGCATCCTTGGCCACGGGCGCGGCATCGGGGGTCGCCTCCGCACACTGCGATCCCCCCCTGGTACATGGCCATGCCGATGCCGAACCCGCAGTCCTGGAAGCCGCGGAAGCAGTACTGGCCCCAGCCGCTGCCCCCGCGCGCCCCAGGGGAACGCGCGCCCCTGGCCACGAGCGCTGCGCAACACATATCGCCCGAACTTGCCGTAGCCGACCATCCCGTCATGGCTGATGAGGCCTATGCGCCCGCACCCTCTTCGAGGCCCTTGGCCGAGGGGGGGGCCGCCCCCTGGCCCCGGGGGGCTGCTGGGGGCACATCCTCCTGCCAGGTCATCCCAAGCCTCATCATCGACGCCTGGGTCTGGGAGTCCTGTGAGGGGGGGGGGGGGCTCGGCTGCCGAGAAGCCCCCTGAGCCTGCGCCTCAGGGCCCGCAGCTCTCCCCAGTGGAAGTCGACGAGGTGGCGATGCGCACCTTGCGCTCGAGCGGTCCTGAACAGGTAAAAGAAGTGGGCCCGACGCTGCTGTCCTCGGCCCCACGACTGCGAGCACCAAAGTTCCCCAATCTGGCGCAAAGTGCGCCCTGGATGGCGGCGTTGGATATGGCGCCGAAGATGCTCCACCTGCGGCCTGTTGAGCGACTCCTTGGAATATGGCACACACACACAAACACCACTCGTACCAGTGCTCCCTGCTGATGTAGCATTCGTCCCTGACGTCGTGGATCCACCTCGCCGCCGCTGCGGTCATCTCCTCCATATGTTCCTGCCTCATGCCTCTGAAGTCGGGTAAAATTCCTGGCGGGGGCCGTCTTCCCATAAGCGTAGACCCCTCGACCCAGCATAGCCCGTTCGTCCAGGTGGTGTGCTCCAGAGCGCCCTCGTAGATCACCTTGGCGTAGTTGTCGATGCATAGTCCACGCTATAGCCCCAGCCGGATGCCCCGTCGCTGCAGCCATCTTCTCCTTCACAGTCTCCTGGGACTGGTTGAGAGCCTCGAAAGATGTCTGCCTCGTGGGGCCCCTGGTCTGCGATGTCCTCGGTTCCGCACTGCCCCCATGCAGCGCCGCAGTCCTCGAAGGTCGCCGCCGATGCCGAGGATGCCGCCGCGGTAGCCTCGAGCTGCTGGGCTAAAGGCTTGGCGCGCCCACGCCAAGCCCCTTCCCTGGCCCTTTGACTGCAGCCTCCAGGCGGGCACGGGCTGCCGCCAAGACGTCGTCGTCGGCTGTTGCTTCCCTCATCCTTGGTGAGGGTTTCCACCTTGCCTTCGCCGCTTGCTCCTGGGGCCGCTGCCGCTGGCTGTGGCGCCGCTGGCGCTGCCGCCTGCGAGCCTGCTGCCACTGCTGCCTGGCCCCCTCCTTCTGCAGGGAGAGCTCCGCCGTCCCACGTCTTCTTCTTCGTGCCTTGCGTTCTTTGAGGGCCTGGAGCTCCCTCTCCAGCGTCTTGGCCTCGTTGGCGAACTGTCCGAAAGCTTCCTGGGCGAGTGCCTTGAATTTCTCCTGGAGGAGCTGCTTTCGCTTGTGCGACTCCTCTCGGTCCTTCGCCTGGATCTCATAGTCGTCGTTCGCCTCCGGCGCTTCAAGGCCGAATAGTCTTCCACCATCCAGTTCGAGCTCCTTGCCCTCGAGGAGGGAGGCGATGGAGATGCGCGCGGTGCTGGCCTGCTGGGCCTCCTGCGCTGCCTGCCCCGTAGGCGCCTCCACCTGCTTGGCCAAGGTCTGGACCGCCTTGGTGTGCGCCGCCATGGCCTAGTCGTAGCGCTGCGTGCACTCAGAAACCGTCTTTCTGGCTGTGTCCAGCTGCCCCTCAAGCTCTTCCGCCACGCAGACTGCTTGCTCGAGGGCTCCTGCTGCTGCATCTCGTGCTTGCATAGCCGCATCCACGGAGAGGGGTACTGCCACGCGCCTGGACCGATGAGCCTCCAGTTGCTGATGATACTTCTGAACACCTCCATCACCCTTGGACAGCTTGAGCAGTACGATGAGCTGGACCAACTTCTCCTCCTCCGAGTCGCTGGAGTCCTCCAATTTGGCGTTTGCATCACCCTGCTCTGGTTCAGTTTGAAGCGCGAAGCGAACTCGCGATCCTGCTCTAGGAGGGCGGTCACGCCAAGGAGCACTCCAGCTAGCATCACGACGTTCAGCAGACCATGCCCGAGAAGGCTGACGCTGCGTGGCGACGATCTCCTTCTTGCAATGTCTGCACCAGCTCCACCATGTCTCGATCCGTTTGCAGCCACAATGCGGGCAGGGGCCCGCCAGCAGCTGTGTGGCGAGACCGCCCTTCCCTTGCCCTGTGCCGCTGCTCCAGCCTCCATGCATGAGTTCCTGCGGCGGCTGGCTGCCGTGGTGCCGCAGGAGCAGCTGGCTGTCGCGGGCCAGCCGCAGGTGCTCCCTCGCTTCAGCCCGCCGCCTGCGCTGGTGGCGGTGCCAGGGCGGCGAAGGGGGCCTGAAGCCGCCCGTCCCCGCTGCGCGCCTGCCCCAACGCTGGGGGCTTCTCGTTCCGCGCGCCGCTCTGCGAAGCCGCCTGGAGGAAGAGGAGGAGAAGGAGGAGGAGGAGGAGAGATAGGGATGGGGAGCTAGGCGGTAGGAGGGGGGTGGGGAGGAACAGAATGAGGGTCAAGAAGTAGTACGAGGCAGAACAAGAAGAGGAGTGGAGGAGGGAAGGAGGAAAGGGAGGAGGAAAGGGAGGAGGAGGAGGAGGAAAAGAAAAAGCAGCAGCAGGACCAGGAGGAGGAGGGTTGAAGCGGATGGAGGATAATAGGAGGGCGCCCTGGATGCCATGCAGCTTTCTCCACACAAACACACACCATCAATCCATCCATCCATCCATCCATATGCTCCTCTGCCTCCTCCTCCTCCTCATCATCATCATCCTCCTCTTCCTATTCGTTATTCCTCCTCCTCCTCCTCCTCCTCCTCCTCCTCCTCCTCCTCCTCCTCCTCCTCGCCTCCTCTTCCTCCTCCTCCTCGCCTCCTCTTCCTCCTCCTCTTCCTCCGCCTCCTCCTCCTCGCCTCCTCTTCCTCCCCCTCCTCCTCCTCCTCCCTCCTCCTCCTCCTCCCTCCTCCTCCTCCTCCTCCTTTTGTTATTATTCGTTTTCTTCTCCTTATTGTTATTGTTATTTTTCCTCTTCCTCCTCCTCCTCCTCCTCCTCCTCCTCCTCCGCCTCCTCCTCCTCCTCCTCCTCCTCCTCCTCCTCCTCCTCCTCCTCCGCCTCCTCCTCCTCCTACGACTCCGCCTCCGCCTCCCCCCCATCCTCGGCCTCGTCTCCCACCTCCCGCTCCTCCTCCCCTGCTTCCGCCACCTCGAGCCTCCTCCGGTCCCCGCTCCCCCTCCAGCTCCCAGATGGAAGCTTGCCGCGCGCAAAGAAACAGAGCGGAAAGAACGC